GCTATAAAGACACTATCTGAAGATGAATTTGCATGCGTGAATCAGAAACATTTCCATTCAATAAATGTGCAAATAAAATATGATGCACAGACTTATTGATGATTCCTACTTGTCTTTCTCGTGATAAATAGTGGGCAAAATCTGATATGTAGCGGGGGAAAAAAGAAGAAAGAGTTCATCAGACGCTGGATTCGAGCCGAGTTCATGCTTGAACGTGTCAATACATGATCACATGCATCTTACGAGGTGCGCCACTGAGACTTCTAACGGTGCTGTAACATTTTACAGATATAAACCACATTATTTCTTTTTTTAATGCACTCACAATGCGATGTTCAGACCCAACTGTGATAACCGCATCAGCTAAACTCTCCCACTCTATTTTTTTTTCTTTTGTTGTTAATTCCGGAGAACAAATTTGCAAATAACACCGCTTTTCTCCGGTCTACCTCCGAAAGCAGCACCTCCAATTCACATTCTGTTCAAAGTTTCTCTTTTTGCTTGATTTTGCCTTTGCTTTGTCGTTGGGTTTTGCCATTAGCATAGTCATTAGCATATTCATACGGGGGAGGAGGCAGGGAGGGGTTTTGTGCTCGTGCATGTTGCGCTCAGTTTCACGTTCATTCGGATGTACAAAAGAATATGCGTGGGATTCGGCGTACGCAGTGTTTCATACATCTGAAATTTTTTATGCGTACGCACATTTACAGCTTTGTGCGTACGAAATGTTTTAGTATAATTTCCACGCAAGTCTTCGTACATGAGGCCCCTGCAGAGTGGATGGCAACATCAAAAGCCTGAGGTATCAAGACATTTGTGCTGCCCATTACATTACAAACCACAGGAGAGGGCAAATTCTCCAGCAGGATAGCGCTCCTTCTCATACTTCAGCCTCCACATTAAAGTTCCTGAAAGCAAAGGAGGTCAGGGTGCTCCAGGACTGGCCCGCCCAGTCACCAGGCAAGTAAGATGAAGGAGGAGGCATTGAAGATGAATCCAAAGAATAATAAGTGATTTGAGTCATTGCAGAGATGTATGGATGCAGTCCTCCAAGCTCATGATGGAGTCAGACACAATATTCATTCTGTTTCCACTGCAGCATGACTTTATATTCTATACTGGACATTATTTCTGTTAAGGGACAAGACTTTAGTCTAAGCAAAGTCAGAGCTTACTGTCCTAATGAATTAATTAAAATCAAGGCATGGTTATATTTTATTTTGGTAAAATAAGTGTATTCTAGAGGCCTTTCCCCTTCAGATAAACCACTTCTGACACCAAATGTTCAACTAGAAGTCAAGTTATTACTTGTTGTTCCTAAAACTTGGATAGGCGACAAGACTTTTGTTAGGTAGTAAAGATCAAAACCCATTTTGCATAAAATATCATAAAGCACTTTATCACTATATTTAAGCAGCTGGCCCCTGGGTTTGTAATGGGACTGAATTATGAGATGATTTTTTTTAAGGCTATTGCTGACCTCTTTTTTTCAAGCCAGTACTGATCATATTTAATGAGATGCAGAGGGACAGTGTGTCATCTTAGGCTTTTGGCAGCTCTGGTTATCAGGTCAGTTTCTCCCCGTGTTAAAGCAGTTGGACTGTGAGGTCGACGGATTATTATTAAGTCTGAAAATCTGCTCTCTGTTGAGCAGCTGGTCAGGTTTGACATTAAGAAGCCAGCGTGAGTCTCCTTTGACACTATTACATGCTGTAGTAGAGACAGGGTCTAAAATAACATTATTCCACACCTGCCAGTGAGCGCTGACATCAGACATCTGAAATAATTTTATTACTTCATTAAAAGAAAATAGTCAAAACTATTTGAGTAAATGTTATTTCATTGTTATTACTGCTATTCATTCATTTATTCATTCATTTTCTTTTCGCCTTAGTCCCTTTATTAATCAGGGGTCGCCACAGTAGAATGAACCGGCAACTTATCCAGCATATGTTTCAGGCAGCGGATGCTTTTCCAGGTGCAACCCATCACTGGGAAACATCCATACACACTTATACAATACGGACAATTTAGCCTACCCAATTTACCTATACCATGTTTTTGGACTTGTGGGGGAAACCGGAGCACCCGGAGGAAACCGACGCTAACACGGGGAGAACATGCTAACGCCACTACGCTGCCCTATTTATTTATTTATTGAAACACAATTATATTCATTATTTCAAAATATTTTATGATAAAATTAAATATTATTATTAATAATAATATTATTTATCTTTCTATTTGTTTATCTATTTAGCTATTTATTTATTTATTTATTTATTTAAAACACATTTATATTTATTGTTTTAAACTATTTTATAAAAAATTTTAAGATTCTATCATAATATTATTATTAATAATAATAATAATAATAATAATAATGTATTCATCTTTATATTTGTTTATCTATGAAGCTATTTAATTATTTAAAACAATTATTTGGATTATTTTAAACTATAAAAATTTTAAATATTTGTATAATAATAATAATAATTTAACTGTCTATTTATTTAGCTATTTGGTTATTTATTTAACTTTTTATTTATTTATTTTAAACACAATTATATTTATTATTTCAAAATATATTACCAATTTTAAATATTTTCATAATATTAACAATTTAACTATCTATTTGTTTAGCTATTTAGTTGTTTATTTAGCTATTTATTTATTTATTTTAAACACAATTATATTTATTATTTAAAAATATATTACCAATTTAAAATATTTTCATAATAATAAAAATAATATATGCATCTGTCTATTTATTCATCTATTTAGCTATTTATTTATGTAGCTTTTTATGTATTTATTTATTTATTTATTTATTTATTTATGTAAAACAGTTTTATTCATTATTTCAAAATATTTTATTATAATATTAAATATTTTTTATAATAATAATAATAATGTAACTTTCTATTTGTTTGTGTCACAACTACCAGCTATCGTATTCCACTAGATCGCTGGTTCTCACTCACAACAACCATGGACTACACTTCCGCCTTTGATGGACTACATATTCATACATGCACTTCGCCCAGACACACATGCTTACTCATCTAGACTGATTACATTCGCACCACCTGAGGATTGTCAAAAAACTGATTGCACTCACTACTTAAGCCACACATTCACCCGTTCAGTTTGCCGAGTCTTGTTATCTGTCACAGTAGCATTACAACGCGTTTTCCAGTCTTGTTATCTTGTGTACCGACCGTTAGCCTTGTTAGCCTCTTTGTCTTTGCCTGCCTTTCTGACCTCTAGCCTGTATTCGACTGTGATTCTGGATTGTCCTCACACACCTGTTTGCACCCGTATTGACCACCGCTTGCCTGACTGTGAATAAACCTGCATATTGGATCTTACCTCAGTTGTTGGTGTTACTCCCCGTGGTTACAGTTTGTCTATTTAGCAATTTATCTATTTAAAACTATTATATTGATTATTTCAAATTATTTTATGCTAATTTTAAATATTTTATAATAATAATAATAATAATAATAATAATAAAATGACAAAACTGGACATATTTAACAGTATTCTTTAATGAATTGAAAGTTTTAAAGAACAGCATTCAAGGAAATATTTTATATATACCATAACTTTACAGTTGTTATATTACTGTTATGATTATTATTTTATTATTATCATTATCATAATAATGTTTTTACTTAACATTTTTTACTTTTAGATTTTTTCACTTTACAATTTTGTACATTGTAGGATAATATAGAAAATATGTAGTGCTTTTGTTTTTGATGATTTTGAAAATTATATATGTATGTACAGTTGAAGTCAGAATTATTAGCCTCCCTGTTTATTTCTTTGCCCAATTTCTGTTTAACAGAGAGAGAGAAAAAAACATCTCTAAACATGATAGTTTTAATAACAATACAAATAAGTGATTTATTTTATCTTTGCAATGATGACAGTAAATAATATTTTACTAGATATTTTCTAGACTTCTATACAGCTAAAAGTGACATTTAAAGACTTAATTAGGGTAATTAGACAAGTCATTTTATAACGATGTTTTGTTTTGTAGACTATCTAAACAAAAAATAGCTTAAAGGGTCTGATAATTTTAACCTTTAAAATGTTTTTTTTTAAAGTAAACTGTTTTTATTCTAGCGAAAATAAAACAAATAAGACTTTCGTAAGAAAAATATTATCAGACATGCTGTGAAAATGTCCCCTTACTCTTTTTTACATACATATATATATATATATATATATATATATATATATATATATATATATATTCATTACATATTCATATTCATACATTACAGAATTTCTTAGATTTTACACTATTATTAAGATTTAATTTTGTTGGAAAATTGGAGGGAAACTTTTTTTCGTTGTTTTTTTTTTTAGATTTCAACTCTCCACGACACTGCTTTCATTTTAATATTTTTGTAACAATGTTCGAGTCTTCTCTGTGACATTTGTTTAGTTAAACGAATCTCTCCTGCAAAGTCTTAATCTAAAAGTCTATTAAACCAATATTTTGAACAGTAGTGTGCATTTGCATCTGAATGCCCTCAAACATGATGATCCTGACAGTGATTGATGAAGGAGGAAAGAGGAAGGTCGTCGTTCATTTGTTTGTGACGTTAAGCGTCAGAAGACGGAAACGCCACCAAACTCACACCTATTTGCACTGCAGCGTTTCTTCATTTCCTCCGCCATGTCTACATTCAGCAAACAGTGTCAACATGATTGACAGAGGTTTGCTGAGTAGGTTAACCTGCTTCTTAAAAAAGAACACAGTCGAATGTGTTGTTCTGTATCCCCTGTGAGAACGACACATTTGTTCAACTGAAGATGCAGCAGAATCATTCTTATCCTGCTGAATTTTCCCTTGTGGATTTTGCTCTGTTATGAATGTATGAATCACAGCTGTGCCACAGAAAATGGCTTTGTTAACAGTTATGAACAGTGTGTGTCTGATGGAGTAACCCTTTACTTTTCTTGTTGTTTTTCTTTTGTAGGAGACAATAATGGCTGGCCACATCTCTTTGATAACTATTTTGGCATCCCCAGTAATAACCTTGGAAACAAGTCAAACGCCTGCTGTGAGTATGATCTCAATTCTAGATTATCTAAAGTTCACGCTCCAGGAGATTTGGATACTCGTAGGGATATTTTTTGGCACATTTTATTAGATACATAATGTATTCATTTACTGTAAAATCAGTTTGCTACAATATTTTAAACCATACACTGTGGTCACTCATTCTCTTGGTCAAAGGATTGTGGAAATAAATGCCTGGTTCAACTTGATTTTTGGCCACATTTTATTTTAAGGTTTAATTCTTGCTATTAAACTATTAACTACTACTTTAATACTACCTGTTTATTAATAGATATTAAGGAAGTAGTTGGGTTTAGCTATTCATTAGGGATGTAGAATAAAATCATGGTTTATGATCATGTGCTTTCGAATGAGATGCTAAAATGAGGTCCTTACTGTCTGTCAATAAAATCCCTGGTCAATAAAAATCCCAGGGCATTTCTCGTAAAGAGTAAGGGTGGAACTGTTCTGGCCAAATCTGCCCTTATGATCATAGCCTCCCACTCATCCCCATCCACCGGATTGGCTCTATCACTGTCTTTCCGCTCCACCTATATCTGGTGTGTGGTGAGCTCACTGGCGCCGTTGTCCTGTGGCTGCCGTCACATCATCCAAGTGGATGCTGCACACTCATGGTGGTGTGTAGAGACCCCCCTCATGATTGTAAAGCACTTTGGGTGTATAGCCATACACAATAAATGAGCTATATAATTACACATTACTTACTTACTTTATAAGTACTAATAAACGGCCAATATATTTATAATAGGCAGGTATACAGTATAAACCACTAGTTAAAAGTGAGAAGTTGTACTTAATGTACACTGTAAAAATATATGTTAATTAACAGTTTGCATATTTTAAAATGTAAAAAAGTCACTTTTTTCCTAAACTTTTCAAGGTTAAGGGCTCTATTTTAAGGATCTAGGTGCAAAGTCTAAAGTGCATGGTGCAAAAGCATTAAGGGCGTTTTTGAATCCACCTTTGCTCTTTTAAAGACTGACAAACAAGCTCTGCGCCTCTGCACACAGTCTAATGGCTGTGCTTATTCTCCTAATAGTCTCATCTCCCGTTCTTTTAAGAGTCAGTTGCGTCACTCCTTTACAAGGCGGACTTGATAAGTAGAAAAACTGAACACTTCAGTAAGAAAAAAACAGTTAATCAGACCACCTGCAGCGCAAGGATAAAGAACGAGCCTCCTCCATTCAGCCCCTTTACTTTACTCTTTACTTTACTTCTACTCTTTACTTCTTTACTTTCATGGATAAGGGAACTGTGTTGTACACACTCCCCTGAAGACATCCAATAGCCTACATATATAATTTAGTTTGTTAAGCACAAAGATTTGTTTCAAAACTGTTTCTAAATTCAGTTCTCATGTCCAGCAAACGAATAAATCAACAATAATAATGAAGTGTGGTCAAAAAACTTATCCAAACACACGTCATGATGCAGACCTCTCTAAAACCCCACAGGTGGACAAATCAAATTTTTTTCTTTAATTTTTTCATATGTATATTTGTGTATTGCTGTAAATCCTTTGTGTATTAAACAATGTGTCTGTGTAATAAACAATGTGTCTTTCAGCTGGTCAATGGCGCAGTCTATTTTAGTAAGTCAAAATAGCAACATGCCAACAATGCGCCCTAACACACCTCTTTTATAGACCACACCCATGAGTCCACAAAGTGGCACAAATGGATTTGCTGTTTAAACAACGGGGTGCAAAATAGAAAAATTAGGGTTGCGCTGGTCTAAAAACTGCAACAGATAGCACCAAACACGTCCTGCGACTTATTGCATAGGGTGTATAATAGGCCATAAAGTTTTTAGAAGAAAGATCAAGATTCAAAAGCATAAATAAAGTGGGAAAATAAAAAAAAATTAAAACACAAATTGCTAAATATGTAAAAATGCTAATTTTCTAATATTTACTACAGTTTAAATGTTACCTATTCTTTTCTGAGGTCAAATCAGCATATTATAATTAAAAATTTCACAATAATACTTTTTTTGCTAACACCGCTTATTTTTGATTAAATAAATGAAAGTGTAGTCTAAACCAGAGATGCCTAAGCTAGGTTCGCTTGCTGTATTTTTGTTTTGCTTATATCTTAGTGTAGATTAGGTAGTGCGTCAGAGACATGAAGATTTTCTTTTCAGTACTGATATATGTTTCTTTTGGATAGTTAGGGTAGAGGTTGGGCCAATAGAACAGCTTGTTTTGTTTTATTTATTTCTATTATTTTGGCGCTGCTCGCGTCTCATCTGTCTAACTCTCCGATCTACCTGTTCAAAAATTTTGTGTCCCATTTGTGTCTGTGATTTTCAATATATTCTAATATATTCTTGTAAATATTTATTGGTCCTTCTATATACAGTTGAAGTCAGACTCATTAGCCCCCCCCCCCGCCTTTTTTTTTTTTATATTTCCCAAATTATGTTAAACAGGGCAAAAAAAAATTCACAGTATGTCTGATAATAATTTTTCTTCTGGAGAAAGTCTTATTTTTTTTATATTCGGCCAGAATAAAAGCAGTTTTCATTTTTTAAAAGCCATTTTAAGGCCAATATTATTAGCCCCTTTAAGCTACATATTTTTTCTATAGTCTACAGAACAAACCATCATTATACAATAACTTGCCTAATCACCCTAACCTGTCTGGTTAACCTAATTAACCTAGTTAAGCCTTTAAATGTCACTATAAGCTGTAAAGAAGTGTCTTGAAAAATATCTAGTCAAATATTATTTACTGTCATCAAGGCAAAGATAAAATAAATCAGTTATTAGAAATGAGTTATTAAAACTATTATGTTTAGAAATGTGTTAAAGTAAATCTGCTCTTCGTTAAACAGAAATTGGGGACAAAAAATAAACAGGAGGGTGAATAATTCAGGGGGGCTATAAATTCTGACTTCAATAGTACATATTTAGCACTTATTATCACTATCTTTGTAAATAAACTCACTTAATTGCATTTAGTTAGTCTTGGTATTTTGTCCCTCACTTGTTGATATTGTGTGTTTGCTTGTGTGTTTCACCCAAAATTAATGTTATTCTCCTACCCCTTGACTGACAATCCTTAAGATTGTAACTGGGTTATAAATGTGGTTGTTTATGTTTTTGTTGCAATAAGACAGCATTTTAATTATGACACTGCATTAATTAATTTGCTTTAAGTAATAAAAAAAAAGTAATAAACCTTATGAAATAAATCAGGAAGTCAACCATGGCAACTTTAAGATAATTTGCTATATTTTCCTTCAACCCACGGTTCTCAATGATACCCTTTATACAAAAAAGTTTGGGCACCCCTGGATTAAACAATCTCATCAGCCTCCAACTTTAAGAGTGGTAGTGTATAGCTTAGTTTTCGTCTAAAAATTGCTTTATTAGTATTCATAAGCTGTGGTTTGTTTGTTGCAGTAGAGCATAATTAGTCCTGGATTTACATGAATTAGTCCTGGATTTTCATTAAGCTCTGTGTAATATCACTGTGCCTGGTACAGCCATGGTACGGCAGCAAAGTCACTTGATTATTACGCCAGAAAGAGAGTATAGTTCATATTAGCCGAGAAAATAGCTAATTTATTTGATTACACAATATAATTACAGAAAAGTCAAGCTTTAAATAGGAAAATTATCAAAACTCTTTAGTCATTTTTGAGTAGATGCTAATGGTCTAATCTGATTTAATTAACTATGCTAAGCTAAGCTAAAAAAGTGATCCTGCCAGACCTAAAGATTGACTGAATGGATAAAAGAAAATGGTCAAACACAACATTTTAAATCTAGTTGAGCTGTAAAATGAGCCTATTTTGTAAAATGGAGTTTCCTTCAATGCGTTTCAAGTGTAAATAGACCCTTACTCACGTAAAAATAAAAAAGATAACATCATAAAAATGTTTCTTGAATTATTTATTGAAGGCAGTTTGATCGTTTCAAAGTTTTATTACTCGGAGACTTTGGCAGGAAATGAAAGCAGATGAGGACGAGCGCTTATCACTCTTCGACAGCTCATATCTGGAGGCTTATGTGCTTTACCGTTGAAGCTGATAGGCAGTATTGATCACAGATTCATGCTCAGATGGAGTCTGGGAAGTCTGTGTGATATTATAGTGTTGCTGCAAAGCTCAAATAAACAAGCATAACAAATAAACAAAGATTTTTTTTTTTTGTGCATTTACTTTTGCCTGAAATATTGGGCTATTTTTGCAATGACTGAACAAGCAGATCTCACTTAATATGGCTGTGCAGTAGATCTATTTTGGTGCAGTTTGACAGCATGGAAATATCCAACCACACTGAAAAAAAATTATTAATTAGATTTGCAATTATTTTTTAACCTGAGTGTTTGCAAACACGTTAAATGGGCTGAATTTAAACACAAATTAAGTTACTGTACGTTCAGACTGAAAGCGGTAGCCGGAAGTCATTCATTTTCAATAGGAGCAGTGACGAGGAGCAGCGTGGCAGGTCTTCGCCAGTGTGGGTGTCGAGAAGAGTTGAAATCAAGTCAATTTTATGGTAATGAGCTATGACGCGGTTCAGTCACAGTCATCGTGAACTTTGATTGTTGCGGTCTTTGGATTTCCAATTATTTGCAATTTTTTTTTGACAGGAACATACATTAAAAAGTTACTGGCGAGTTACTAATGTGCATCAATGTTATATATATTTTTCTTTTAAAAAAGCGGGAATCTTCTGCAACAATACAAAACAGTGCTGCTTCAGAATATTTTATACATATGGGCACATATTGGATGATTAAATGGAGCAAAGCCACACCACATGCAACTTGATCTTCCGTAGTTAAATGAATTTTATAATAACTGCATAACATTTTCATGCAAGAAAGCCTGTTTGCTGCGGGAATGTAACTGATATGATATGCTACAACGGCCCCTTTAAATACGAGATCAATGTAGCAAATTTTGACGCTCATGCCGCCGGAGCTGAAGGCAGACAGCGTTGTCGCCAAGGAGGCCAAAACGACCTTT